CAGTGACGGATGATTTCTGTAATACACAGAAAACTGCATTTGGTGATAGCAATGATTATGAGAAGAGAGGTGGTCATAAGAAGCTAAGTGAAGTGCTGGATCAGGGTATGGTCCTAGTCATGAGTCTTTGGGATGATCACGCTGTCAACATGCTCTGGCTTGATTCTGATTACCCTCTTGATAAGTCTCCATCAGCACCAGGTGTAGCTAGAGGAACCTGCCCCACTAGTTCAGGTAAACCTTCTGATGTTGAGAGTAAGTACCCTGACGCCAGTGTGACTTACTCTAACATCAAGTATGGACCTATTGGATCTACCATGCCAAAGTGATCCTTAAAACTATACTAATTGTGACCGAAACTCTTTAAGATTATTAGATTCTTTATCTTTAGTTGTGTGGTTGAATAATAGACTTGTTTTTTGCAGTTGATATTGTTTTTGTTTAAAGTTATTTTATATAAAATTCTGATAATAGTGTGAACAATCATCCCACATGTCCACTCCACATTATACAATGGACATGCATGCAACATAGAAAAGGTTATAGTTTTGTTCTCTTTACATGCAAATTGACTTAAAATACTTTAGCAATCATTTCCTTTTTCTTATTTTCTCCATTTTCATGTCGTGTTGCTGTTCCTGTAGCCATCCTTCAATCTGCTTCACCTTTCTCTTACGCTCACCATCTCTACAACATAAATAAAGATACAATACTTGCTGTGTAGACACAGTACCAACAATACAATACAGTGAGTATCATTAGGGGCATCACTAATGATGGAGTAGTCCTTTGCATCACAGACTGACATTATAAATTACCTTGTCAGCTGTTCTTTGAGTTTCTGACGTGCTAAGAACTTTGTATCTTTACGTATCTCTCTAATAGCACCCTGGAATGATAACCAATACACTTAGCTATGAATGTCAAGATAATAATACCTTCAGTTCTCTTTTGTGTTTGTGTTTTAGTTTCATCATTTCTCCTTGAGTCTTGTTTGGAGCTTTCCTCTTTCCCGGCTGATAGCTACAAAAATACACTCAATAAACTCACAGAAGAACTGTAGCAAGTCAATTGTAATTATAAAAAATTATTAGCCGTACATTTACACGTATATACATTACTTACTCGTTATCAAACTGAGGTTCAAAGAACTTGACAGATTTTGGCTTACGCCTTAAAACCTACCAAAGACTTTATTATAATGACAACAATCAGAGGAACAGACTTGAAGGATTGGCTTAGGACGACTGATCCCTGATTCTATTGATGCTTGAACTTGTTCAAGGAGTGACTGAAGAATTAATATTTTAAAATTATTTCTTGCATTTTTATTTCTTACCTTTAGTGACTTGGGAACATCCAAACTACATGACAAAGGCAAAATTCACAAGCAAAGTATATAGAGACTTGCTAACCTTTTGATAGTGTTCAGAGTTGTTTGAAAAATAGCATCAAATGATGGACTGTTATACCAATACTGACTTACTGTGTTCAGACACTCCAGTGTTAACTTTAGCAGTGATAATCTATTAAAAATCCAAATATGATTGGGATCTGCTCAAATGACTTTAATTTTTCAAGTTACGGCCACTTTTAAAAAATGCCAAAATTCTGAAAAGTACCCAAGGCTATAGCCCATGGTTTTTTCCAAAAAATGGCTCCAAAATCACCCCCAATTTTTATTAAATTTTCTAATACATATTGATGTACTTATGCTGTGTAGAAAGTTTGAGCTGATTCCGACTTCAATTTTTCAAGTTACAGCCATTTTAAGAAAATGCCAAAATTCTGAAAAGTACCCAAGGCTATAGCCCATGGTTTTTTCCAAAAAATGGCTCCAAAATCACCTCCAATTTTTATTACATTTTCTGATACATATTGATGTTCTTATGCTGTGTAGAAAGTTTGAGCTGATTCCGACTTCAATTTTTCAAGTTATGGCCATTTTAAAAGTGCCAAAATTCTGAAAAGTACCCAAGGCTATAGCCCATGGTTTTTCTAAAAAATGGCTCCAAAATCCCCTCCAATTTTTATTAAATTTTCTGATACATATTGATGTTCTTATGCTGTGTAGAAAGTTTGAGCTAATTCTGACTTCAATTTTTCAAGTTACGGCCATTTTAAGAAAATGCAAAAATTCTGAAAAATACCCAAGGCTATAGCCCGTGGTTTTTTCCAAAAAATGGCTCCAAAATCACCCCCCAATTTTTATTACATTTTCTGATACATACTGATGTTCTTATGCTGTCTAGAAAGTTTGAGCTAATTCCGACTTCAATTTTTCAAGTTACAGCCATTTTAAAGAAAATGCCAAAATTCTAAAA